GCTAGGTGTCAATGTTCAGGTGGTAGGTGTCAATGTGCAGCTGCTAGGTGTCAATGTTCAGGTGGTAGGTGTCAATGTGCAGGTGGTAGGTGTCAATGTGCAAGTGCTAGGTGTCAATGTTCAGGTGGTAGGTGTCAATGTGCAAGTGCTAGGTGTCAATGTGCAGGAGCTAGGTGTCAATGTGCAAGTGCTAGGTGTCAATGTGCAGGTGCTAGGTGTCAATGTGCAAGTGCTAGGTGTCAATGTGCAAGTGCTAGGTGTCAATGTGCAGGTGCTAGGTGTCAATGTGCAAGTGCTAGGTGTCAATGTGCAAGTGCTAGGTGTCAATATTCAGGAGCTAGGTGTCAATGTGCAGGTGCTAGGTGTCAATGTGCAAGTGCTAGGTGTCAATGTGCAGGTGCTAGGTGTCAATGTGCAGGTGCTAGGTGTCAATGTGCAGGTGCTAGGTGTCAATGTGCAGGTGCTAGGTGTCAATGTGCAGGTGCTAGGTGTCAATGTGCAGGTGCTAGGTGTCAATGTGCAGGTGCTAGCTGTCAATGTGCAGGTGCTAGCTGTCAATGTGCAGGTGCTAGGTGTCAAAGTGCAGGAGCTAGGTGTCAATGTGCAGGTGCTAGGTGTCAATGTGCAGGTGCTAGGTGTCAATGTGCAGGTGCTAGGTGTCAATGTGCAGGTGCTAGGTGTCAAAGTGCAGGAGCTAGGTGTCAATGTGCAGGTGCTAGGTGTCAATGTGCAGGTGCTAGGTGTCAATGTGCAGGAGCTAGGTGTCAATGTGCAGGTGCTAGGTGTCAATGTGCAGGTGCTAGGTGTCAATGTGCAGGTGCTAGGTGTCAATGTGCAGGTGCTAGGTGTCAATGTGCAGGTGCTAGGTGTCAATGTTCAGATGGTAGGTGTCAATGTGCAGCTGCTAGGTGTCAATGTGCAGGTGCTAAATGTCAATGTGCAGGTGCTAGGTGTCAATGTTCAGGTGCTCGGTGTCAATATGCAGGTGCTAGGTGTCAATGTTCAGGAGCTAGGTGTCAGTGTTCAGGAGCTAGGTGTCAATGTTCAGGTGTCAATGTTCAGGAGCTAGGTGTCAATGTGCAGGTGCTAGGTGTCAATGTGCAGGTGCTAGGTGTCAATGTTCAGGTGTCAATGTGCAGGTGCTAGGTGTCAATGTGCAGGAGCTAGGTGTCAATGTTCAGGTGCTATGTGTCAATGTTCAGGTGCTAGGTGTCAATGTTCAGGTCATAGGTGTCAATGTTCAGGTTCTAGGTGTCAATGTGCAGGTGCTAAGTGTCAATGTTCAGGTTCTAGGTGTCAATGTGCAGGTGCTAAGTGTCAATGTTCAGGTGCTAGGTGTCAATGTTCAGGTGTCAATGTGCAGGTGCTAGGTGTCAATGTGCAGGGAGCTAGGTGTCAATGTTCAGGTGCTAGGTGTCAATGTTCAGGTGCTAGGTGTCAATGTTCAGGTGATAGGTGTCAATGTTCAGGTGCTAGGTGTCAATGTTCAGGTGTCAATGTGCAGGTGCTAGGTGTCAATGACCACGACGAGATGGCTTCAGTAGTTTTGTTCCTCCTCCTCCACTGAAGGAGTGCAGTGCTCTGCTGCGGACCCATTGTCTGGTTTGGACGGCCACCAGCGCAGCACTGTGGCTCATGTCGTTGATTTCCCAACCACTCAGGAGATGTGGGGCACATCGGCCTGGTGAGGTTCTGACGTGGGTGACGGTACACCGCTCTCTTCGAGGAATGGGCGGGAGCCGGTTGCCTCCTCCTCGCCGCTGCCTCTGCCCGTCGCGTGCCAGTCACGTTGTCCGTGCCGGTCACGTTGCCCGTGCCGGTCACGTTGCCTGAAGCGCAACGAATACCCCCGTCCCGCTGGGCAACACGGGACGACGATCGGTCGAATGCCTCTCGGCCACCGCCTCCGTCACAGAGGCGACATCGTCAGCAGATCGGAGACGGGTCCTGCTCTTAATGCCTTCACCGACTCCGAATGAGATCTCACTCGCGCGCGTCTCAAACTCACGTCGGATAGACAATTTGCTTTTTAAAAATGTTCTTTTTAATCCAGTCGCAGAGCAAATTCCCCACAAGGCCCCAAACCGTCAAGCGACCAGCAACAAACAGCACTGCCACACTCGTAATAGACGAGAGTGCAACGCGATTCTTTAATTGAGGGAGGTTATTATTGTTGTCCGAATTTGGGGAGAGAGATGGTGGTGATGATGATGATTGATGGGAGGAGGGAGGTCCAAAGAGTAGCGGTGTGAGGAAAGAAGCAGAAAGAGAAGTGTCGTGACCTGTAGTGTTGTGAGAGGGTGAGTAGTTGGGTGAGTGGCTGGGTGACCGAGTTAGTGTGTGAGTGGGTGAGTGAGTGGGTGAGTAGGTGGGTGAGTGGGTGGGTGAGTGGGTGGGTGAGTGGATGGGTAAGTGAGTAGGTGGGTGAGTAGGTGTGTGAGTGGCTGGGTGAGTGAGTAGGTGGGCGAGTGGGTGGGTGAGTAGGTGGGTGAGTGGGTGGAAGAATGGGTGGGCGAGTGGGTGAGTAGGTATGTGAGTGGGTGAGTAGGTGAATGAGTGGGTGGGGAGTGGGTGGGTGAGTAGGTGTGTGATTAGGTAAGTAGGTGGGTGAGTAGGGGAGTCAGCGAGTGGGCCGGTAAGTGGGTGGAGGCATCAACGAGTGAAGTCACGGTGACAATTAACCCACGGTAGTAGTAGCGATAGAAGAGTGATAAGGAGGCGACTAGCCGCCGCTGAGCGAGTGGCCAGAGTGAATTGGTCAGTGCCGTGTCATCATCATTCACCCAGACTGTTGCTTTACGTTGCATCATATCCAGTACAGACAAGTACGTATACAATGAAACATCCTTACATATCACACGCGTGTACACGCATTTCACCCACGTGTACACGCATTCCACACGCGTGTACGCGCATTTTTGCATCACATGCTTTCAGATGAACTGTGGACGTCTGGAACGCACTTCCTTACGATATTAGAACTGCTTTTTGCGTTTAGTTTGTTGTCCTTCCCCGCACCTCCGATTTGCAGTTAGCTATGTAGGATGCGAAAGACGTTCAACCCACACACACACCTCACACATGTATCTCACACGCATCTACCACACGCGTGCACGCGTCTCTCTCGCCCGCACGCCTATTCCCTGTGAACAGAATGTGAATGTCAACAATCGGATTTGGCGCGCGGTCTCCACGCCTTCTGTGCCACGGGGTGCGGCGTGCAGGTGGCACAGGGGACAAGCGCCGAGTGTGGGGAGCGGTGGCACAGTGGTTAGCGCACTGCGCCACGAACCCAGCGACCCGAGTTTGATTCCCGTTCACAGCCAACATCGGTGAAGGAATTGTGAACTGGTCCTGGGTCCCCCCAAGGTCGACTCAGCCTTAAACGAGTACCTGGTGCGGTATGTAAACATCCGCGTTGGGGAGACCAAAGCGGCCAAGCAGCGTGGCACTGCCCACACCATCCCATCGTGTGCCGTGCCGCGCCGGCCACAATAGGTGCTTGCTAACAGCCCTAGGCTCTAAATCCCTTCGTTAATTCCCTCGGTATCATGCAGCTAGCGAGCGAGCGAGCATTGCATCAGCCTGTGACAGCGAACGGAACCGCTCGCCGTCAGGGCCCACGTGCCCTACTAAGGGTGTTCATTGCCTGCCAATCAATTGCAAAATGTTAATGCTCAAGAGCTGCAACAAGGCGAGGTTGATAAAGTAGCACACATTTCGTGTCAAGGTTGTTCTTGTCCGGCCATTGGTCACTGGGCTGAGGCCATCAACTCACGACACTTAGGAACCCGCTTTCATCACAACTCAGTCGATGTAAGTCGATGAGACTGGCGATGGGTCTCTGCCTAGGTCTATGGGCCTCTGTGAAAGTCATCGGTAACCGGGCTGAGACCATCAACTCGTTACAATCGAGAACCCGGATTACAACCCAGGTGTTCAGCGATGCCGCCTCGGAGTGCTCTATCCACTTATTCCAGCCGGGCCGCCCTCACTGATTTGCAGGGCGGCGGGGGAGGGTGTCGTGGGGGGTGGAATGGGCCTTCAGTGGCAATGATGCGCAAGAGGAGCCGGCAACTGTGCAAGCGGTGTTCCGCCTCCCCCCACGCCTCTTGCGCGACGATGACCGCCCCGGGTCGACAAACCCCGAGCGCGGATTCCTGAGCGGTGATTGACACCCTCGTTGACGTCAGCCAATTGTCGCGGAGTGCTTGCCTCGAGATTTATCCTCCACCCCTCCTCCACTCATAATAATCTCGAACTCAGCCAACTGGTTCCTCCGTGTGCCGTGGGCGCGACGCATCGGTCGGAGACTCCTTCCGGGCACGGCCCCGGCTGGAGCTGAGGCTCCACGGGCGCGTGGGCCCCGTGCTGATCCTGCTGCTGCTGATCCTGCTGCTGCTGATCCTGCTGCTGCTGATCCTGCTGCTGCTGATCCTGCTGCTGCTGCTCCTGCTGCTGCTGCTCCTGCTGCTGCTGCTCCTGCTGCTGCTGCTGCTGCTGCTCCTGCTGCTGCTGCTCCTGCTGCTCCTGCTGCTGCTGCTCCTGCTGCTGCTGCTCCTGCTGCTCCTGCTGCTGCTGCTCCTGCTGCTGCTGCTCCTGCTGCTGCTGCTCCTGCTGCTGCTGCTCCTGCTGCTGCTGCTCCTGCTGCTGCTGCTCCTGCTGCTGCTGCTGCTGCTGCTCCTGCTGCTGCTGCTCCTGCTGCTGCTGCTCCTGCTGCTGCTGCTCCTGCTGCTGCTGCTCCTGCTGCTGCTGCTCCTGCTGCTGCTGCTCCTGCTGCTGCTGCTCCTGCTGCTGCTGCTCCTGCTGCTCCTGCTGCTGCTCCTGCTGCTGCTCCTGCTAGCCTGCTGCTCCTCCTGCTAGCGGTGCTCCTGCTGGCACTACTGGTGGTGGAGGGAACGTAAACAGACGTTGCGCACGGGCAGCAGCAGCAACAGCAGCCTCCAGCCTCGCTCGCTCGCTCCGTGTGATCTTTGCACCCCTCGCCGTTTCGTTGGCAGGAGCGCGCCCGGACCCCGGCGCGGAACAATCACCACCAGCAGCGCCATGCGCGCACGCACCGCCGGTGCCCCTGAACGCACAGCCGCTTCCAGACAGCGCGGTGGCGCATCGGGAGCCCCGGAGGGCGGCGTGGGAGGCCCCGAGGGCGCAGCAGCAGCAGCCTTTAGAGAGCGCGCAGCGAGTTCCAAAGAGCGCACAGCGAGAGCACGAGAGAGCAGAACGGTGAGAGAGTGGAGGCGAGTCCCTGGCGCACGCGGCACCGTCGTAAACACACTCTATATTACACCCACACTCTCTCTCTCTTACACACACACACTCTCTATTATACACACACACTCTATATTACACACACTCTCTCTCTTACACACACTCTATATTACACACACACTCTCTCTCTTACACACACACTCTATATTACACACACTCTCTCTTACACACACACACTCTATATTACACACACACTCTCTCTCTCTTACACACACACTATCTCTCTTACACACACGCACAAGGACATACATCCCACGTGTAGCCTTTAACAGACTGTAGGGGGCTGTGAGCGAGCACCTAAGAAGGCAGGCACGGCACACGATGAGTGGGTGGCCAACACGCCACACTCGATCGCCTTTGTATCCCCATTGGCAATGTTTACACATCGCACCGCACTCCACGTCAGGTGCTCATTTGAGGCTGAGTCGACCTATGGAGAGACCTAGGACCGGTTCAGATAATCGTCATTGGTGTTGGACGTGAACGGGAATCGAACTCGGGTCGCTGGGTCCGTAGCGCAGCGCGCTAACCGCTCCCCACAAACATCACGACACACGCCACACGCACCGCGACACACACATACGCCACACGCACCGCGACACACACACACGCCACACGCGCCGCGACACACACACGCCACACGCACTGCGACACACACACACGTCACACGCACCACGACACACACACACGCCACACGCACCGCGACACACACACACGCCACATGCACCGCGACACACACACACGCCACACGCACCGCGACACACACACACCGCGACACACACACACGCCACACGCACCCAACACACACACACGCCACACGCACCGCGACACACACACGCCACACGCACCCCGACACACACACACCACACGCACCGCGACACACACACACGCCACACGCACTCGACACACACACACGCCACACGCACCGCGACACACACACGCCACACGCACCCCGACACACACACACGCCACGCGCACCGAGACACACACACACCACACGAACCGCGACACACACACACGCCACACGCACCCGACACACACACACACACGCCACACGCACCGCGACACACACACGCCACACGCACCCCGACACACACACACGCCACGCGCATCGAGATACACACACGCCACACGCACCCCGACACACACGCCACACGCACCAGACACACACACACGCCACACGCACCGCGACACACACACACCACACGCACCCCGACACACACACGCCACGCGCACCGAGACACACACACGCCACACGCACCCCGACACACACACACGCCACACGCACCCCGACACACACACACGCCACACGCACCCGACACACACACACGCCACACGCACCCGACACACACACACGCCACACGCACCGCGACACACACACGCCACACGCACCCGACACACACACACACACGCCACACGCACCGCGACACACACACGCCACACGCACCCCGACACACACACGCCACGCGCACCGAGACACACACACGCCACACGCACCCGACACACACACACACGCGCCACACGCACCCGACACACACACACGCCACACGCACCGCGACACACACACACGCCACACGCACCCGACACACACACGCCACACGCACCCCGACACACGCCACGCGCACCGAGACACACACACGCCACACGCACTCCGACACACACACACGTCACATGCACCCCGATACACACACACGCCACACGCACCCGACACACACGCCACACGCACCGCGACACACACACACGCCACACGCACCCGACACACACGCCACACGCACCCGACACACACACACGCCACACGCACCGCGACACACACACACGCCACACGCACCCGACACACACACACACACACGCCACATGCACCGCGACACACACACGCCACACGCACCCCGACACACACACACGCCACGCGCACCGAGACACACACACGCCACACGCACCCCGACACACACACACGCCACACACACACACGCCACACGCGCCCGACACACACACACGCCACACGCACCCGACACACACACACGCCACACGCACCGCGACACACAGCACGCCACATGCACCCCGACACACACACACGCCACGCGCACCGAGACACACACACGCCACACGCACCCCGACACACACACACTACACGCACCGCGACACACACACACGTCACACGCACTCGACACACACACACGCCACATGCACCGCGACACACACACGCCACACGCACCCGACACACACACACGCCACGCGCACCGAGACACACACACGCCACACGCACCCCGATACACACACACGCCACACACACGCCACACACACGCCACACGCACCGCGACACACACACACGCCACACGCACCCGACACACACACACACACATGCCACACGCACCGCGACACACACACGCCACACGCACCCCGACACACACACACGCCACGCGCACCGAGACACACACACGCCACACGCACGCCACACGCACCCCGACACACACACACGCCACACGCACCCCGATACACACACACGCCACATGCACCCGACACACACACACACGCCACACGCACCCGACACACACACACACACGCCACACGCACCCGACACACACACACGCCACACGCACCGCGACACACACACACGCCACACGCACCCGACACACACACACGCATCGCGACACACACATGCCACACGCACCCCAACACACACACACGCCACGCGCACCGAGACACACACACACGCCGCACGCACCCGACACACACACACACACGCCACACGCACCCCGACACACATACACGCCACACGCGCCCGACACACACACGCCACACGCGCCCGACACACACACACGCCACACGCACCCGACACACACACACGCCACACGCACCGCAACACACACACACGCCACACGCACCGCGACACACACACGCCTACACGCACCGCGACACACACACGCTACACGAACCGCGACACACACACACTACACGCACCGCGACACACACACACGCACCGCGACACACACACACGCTACACGCATCGCGACACACACACGCCACACGCACCGCGATACACACACACTACACGAACCGCGACACACACACACGCTACACGAACCGCGACACACACACACTACACGCACCGCGACACACACACTACACGCACCGCGACACACACACACGCTACACGAACCGCGACACACACACACGCACCGCGACACACACACACGCTACACGCATCGCGACACACGCCACACGCACCGCGATACACACACACTACACGAACCGCGACACACACACACGCTACACGAACCGCGACACACACACACTACATGCACCACGACACACACACACACGCTACACGAACCGCGACACACACACACTACACGCACCGCGACACACACACACTACATGCACCGCGACACACACACACGCTACACGAACCGCGACACACACACACGCACCGCGACACACACACACTACACGCACCGCGACACACACGCGCGCGCGCTAATACACATTGTTACATTTGACACACGCACTCACACATTCACGGCCACATTCCTACACCCCTTATACTCGATTACAAACTCGCGCTCACACTCTTACTGCCGCCCCCGCATACCCTTACACACACACGCCACTAAACACACAACAACGACACGCCCATCACAAAGACGAAGCTTCCCCGTGCAGCCTTCGCAGACTGGATGGGAAAGTGCTGTTAGCGAGCACCTATGAAGGCACACAAGGAGGTTGTGGGTCGCCAGAACCAAGCCCGGCCGCCTTTGTCTCCCAAGCGCCGATGTTTACACGCCACACCAGGTACTCATTTGAGGCAAAGTCGACCTACCTAGGGGAGGCCCAAGACAGGTTCAGATGATCGCCACTCAAAGTGGCAGTGAGCGGGAATCGAACCCTGGGGTCGCTGGATTCGTAGCGCACGAAGCACGCTAACAACTACACTACTGCTCCCCACTGATAGCATAGGAACAAAGATAAAAGATCCCCCGTATAGCCTTAACAGACTGTAGGGGCAAGTACTGTTAGCGAGCACCTATGAAGGCCGACGAGGGGGTGGGTGGCCAACACCACGCCCGGCCGCCTTTGTCTCCCTAGTGGCGTTGTTTACACATCGCACCAGGTACTAATTTGAGGCTGAGTCGACCTAGGAGAGGCCCATGACCGGTTCAATAATTAATCGTCACTGGTGTTGTCCGTGAGTGGGAATCGAACCCGGATCGCTAGGTTCGTAGCGCAGCGCGCTCACCGCTACACTACCGCTCTCTACAGACAGCACGGGCACACTCACACACACGCGCACACACACACGCACACACACGCACACACACGCACACGCACGCACACACACACGCACACACACATGTGCCACACACACGCGCACACACACGCACACACACACACGTGCCACACACACACTCACACACTCTATAAATAGCCTAGAGGGCAACCATAGCCAGTATCTATGGGCATGGCTCCGCACAGCCAAGCCGGCATCACGGAGGGACAACACACATTAACTCCCACCCCCCCAGTCACTCGGTGACCACACACAGACCTCTCGTTGCACTCCCCCCTCCTCCTCCGCGCCGGAGCTGCACACAAACCCTCCCTACCCCCACGCCTTGCACCTGCAAGCAACGCACTCCGTGACACCCAGACCATAAACGTGTAAATACACCCCGGGTCGTCGTCTCTCGCATCCACACACACGCAGTCGCACCTGGTTCACACACCCACTTAGCGTCACACACACACACACGTACCCACTCACTCACGTGAGTCATCATCACACAACACGCAACGATCCCCCCCCGCCCCCCCCCCCGTTGAGCCACCGTTTTTCACATACACGACAAACACACACACACACCTGCCTCACTCTCACTCACACCTGTCTCACTCACACCTGTCTCACTCACACCTGCCTCACTCACGCCTGCCTCACACCTGCCTCACTCACACCTGCCTCACTCACTCACACCTGCCTCACTCACACCTGTCTCACACCTGCCTCACACCTGTATCACAGCCACCTGTCTCACTCACAGACCAACAACAGCAACCATTTGCCACGAAGTGGCGGTCATGTTACCATGGCGCTTGTGCCAGGCCAGGTGCACTTTGAGGCCACGTTAAGTTTCGAAGGCTCGCTGTCAGAAGATCACAGGACGGGTGGATTGTCTGAGATGACTGGAAAATGCACCGCCTGTGTTCCCCACTGTGCCAACTTGCTGTTTCTGCGACCCGGAGCTCCGCTCGTTGGAGGGTGACTGCCTCCAACTGGCTAGTAGTGTCCTTCACGAGCTTCCTCCGCAGAAGCCGATCTTGACACCGCTCGTACCGGTTAATTATCGGCAAGTCCAACTCAGGTCCACATCGTCCTGTACCAGATCATCTCCATGTCTTCTTCTATCTCTTCTCTAGCTACGTAACCCTCGCCTACTGGAAAAGCTCACTGGTTGCACTGTCCAGATTTTTCGGGTTATCTGTGAGCTCCTTGCATAATCCAACCTGGTTAAACCCCACACACAACTCCCTGTCTCTCACACACCTCTGTAGAGACGCAGTGTTAATATCCTCCTCTTTGGGCTTCATGGGTGAGGCACTCGCGCTCGAGGTGCGAAAGAATCGCAGGCGAGTGAAGCGCGGCGAGTCAGATGCGGGTGAGGTGCAGGTGAGGGGCGGGCGAGGTGGAGGTGAGGGGCCGGCGAGGCACGAGGCGCAAGCGAGCGAGGCGCAGGTAAATGAGATGTGAGGGAGGCGCTCGAGCTCGAGGTGAGCGAAGCGCAGGTGAGGTCGTTGAGCGCAGCTTCAAGGGCAACCTCTCCCTGGCAGCTGCCCCCCCACCCCGCCTGCTGTGCATTCCGCTTGTCCGCCGGCGTGCGGCGTTGCACCGTCGCCATTGTCCACCGAGGCTGAGAGCTGCGTTCTGTCCGGCCGAGACGCGGGATCACGATAACCCCGGTGAGGGCAATCCGACAGGAACGTCACTTTGCGTGAACTCGCATCGCCATTGGGGAAGCCACCCGAGTGAGTCTTGGCCGCGGCAGTATCCCTGCACTCGCCAAATGCTGGAGATAGAATCCAGCGCCACGAGAACGTGACTCATTGTGCTGGACCCTGCCGGCCGACGCGAGCCCTCCCTGGCGGAGCCACTGTCCGAACCCCTCTCCACCGTAGGTGTCCTGACGGCCCGCGGGACGCACCGCTTGCCTACTTTGATGCTTCACTCAGACCTCACTCTAACCATGTCAATGCCAGCCCTGTATCCCGAGCCATGATCCAAACTTAACCCTAGCCCTGCCTCAACAAATACACCTAAAGCCAGCTCTTGCCCTCACCCTCACTCTAACCCTCAGCCTAACTCTAGTCCTCTAGTCTTATCCATAACCCTCACCTTAGCCTTAACCAAACTGCATCTCTAACCGTAACACTACCTCCACCCCTAACCCCAACTGAAACCCTAAGCCAATCCCTTAGCCCCTTTATTTCTACAACAGAGGCTTGCCCAAAAATGTTCTGTGACTTTGACCAACCTCAACCCTGATCCTGACCTCAACCCTGACCTACACCCAGACTCTGACCCTATCGCACAGTTCAGCAAAGTGCAGTTCACAGAAAGCGTCTGGAACACAAATCCCTGCACATTCAACTCTGAGACTGGCAACAGCGTAGGATTGGCGAGCGAGCTCATGGGATCTAACTCTGGTTCAGCCAACCTGGGTGGGAGGCATTGTTGCATCATGGGACCCGTGGGGGTTATCGTGAGGCCACTGCTTTGGGGAACCCTCATCCAGCAGTAGATTGACCAAGGCCGATTTACGACGAGGAAAACAGAGCGTCGTGTGCGCGATTCCACACTGGGCATGTGACGTCCGTGACAGCAGAGAGGCAGCGAGAGTGTTGTGTCGTCAAACCGGGGGGGGGGGTGAACCAAACGGCGAGCACCGGAGCGACAGCGCCGCTCGTCACTGCCAGGACGGCCGGCGAGGGGAGCTGCTGGCAGGGGCGATGGCAGCGCTGCCTGCACGGGCGGTGACGGCATGTACCCTCGCCCCATGTGCGGAGTCATCCCATTTCTTGGGGAATACAAAATGGGAGCGTCCAAGAGTGGGCTCGTATCAACGAAGCCGATGTACGCCCAGCTACATTAACACCCAGCCTCCCGATTCGCGGCCCTGCGGATTGCCCCTCGTTGACTCGCTCCCAAACCGCGTCTCTTGTCTCCCGCAGGCGGCGGCGTCTCTGCTGCTGCTCCTCATGGCGGCCTCCGCCTCCATCCCCCCCGGGGCGAGCGGGCGGCACACAATGAGCACGACGCCACCGTCCTCGGGCCTACAGGTGCGACCCGCCAACCCCATCGACCCCGCCGACTCTGTCGACCCCGACCACCTCGCTGACCTCATCGCACCCACGGCGCCCCCCGCCCTGACCAGCACCGCCGAGGATGACGCGCGGCACCAGCAGCGTGAGTGTCACGTGACCGCCCAACCACCCCCATCCGAGAGTCACGTGACTCGCGAACTCATCCGTCGCGTTGACCCCATTCGAGAATATCACGTTCCCCCCCCCCCCCCCGTATCTGGGAGTTGGGTGACCTCGTCCGAGAGAGTCACGTGATCCCTAAAGTAGATAGTCATGTGACCTCATCAGTCATGTGACCCTGCCCATCAGCCATGTGACCCCCATCAGAGACAGCCTAATGACCGTGTTCGGCCATGGGGCCCCCGGGTGCACGCATTCCCGCGCTGCTGACGGCGCGCTCACAAGTCAGAGCAGAGTCCCTCTCCTGAAGCTCCACTGAGAACCACCCGGCTGGGAGGTGGTGGTCATAGTGGTGGTCGTGGTGATGCTGGTCGTAGTGGTGGTGGTGGTTGTGGTGGTGGTGGAGGTGGTGGTGTTCATGTGGGGAGCAGTAGTCCAACAGTTAACGCTATGTTGCGCTACAAACCCGGCGACCCACGTTCGATTCCCGCTCATGGCCAACGCTAGTTACGATTATCTGAATCGGTCCTGGGCCTCCCCTAGATCGACTCAGCCTCAAATGAGTACCTGGTGCGGTGTGTAAACATCGCCATTTGGGGAGACAAAGGCGGCCGGGCGTGGTGCTGGCCACCCACCCCTCATGTGCCCTTCATAGGTGCTACTCGCTAACACCATTTGCCCCGACAGTCTATTAGAGGCTATACGGGAGATCTTTGTCTTTTTGTTTTGGTGGTGTTCATCATGACTCAGGCCGCGAGTCTGGAGCAGTAATTCACGTCCCTGGTGTGGAATAAGACAAGACGAAATGATTGGGTTGAAAGCAGTGGCGGCTGGTGATATTTATTTTTGGGGGGGCGCATTTTTTTTATTTTATTGAGGGGGGCAAATAAATATAAAGCAGTACCAAAAACCATCTTGACTACTTGAATATAAATTTTGATGATCTTTATTTACATTTCAGACCAAAAGAAGTACCAAAAAGCATGTTTCCTACTTGAACATAAATGTTTCTCTTTTATATACATTTCAGACCAAAGTACCAAAAAGCATGTTTCCTACTTGAACATAAAAACGTTAGTTTCATGCTATTATCAATATGGCTGCGGCTACTTTCATGACGTTTGCATTTGTCAGAGAGATGTTTGAGGTCTCTTACCCCCGTCGTTGTCCACAAAACTTCAGTGCCGACACTTTGAAATAAAAGACAGGGAAAACAAAAAAGAGAATTGCTAACATCACATCCAGCCAGCCACCTCCGTTTCTCATAACAAGCGCGGGTGAAGCTTCGTGTGTAGCTTCGTCCTCTGTCACTGGCCTGCTGCTGGATTTGTAAATCAGGTTGGTCCGGTCCGAGATCCTTTATCTTTTTTATTTCTTCCAGCGAAAGCCTTGTGAAAGGGTTTTTTTGTAAATAAATTACAGAATTTGGATGAACTGCTGCCATTGTTAACACAAAAAATTTGATCAGCCTAGCAAGTGTCAAAGTGGTGTCGCCTTCGCACTCGCAGTAGTGGCCTACAGCGTAAATTTGAATGACAGGTGACGAGAACCAATCAGATTGGATAAAATAACATGTATCCAATTTTGATTGGCCAGGGACGCAACGACTTGCGCCCCGAGGAGAATCTTTAAGAAACCAATTAGAGACCAGCTTCAGGTCACATGCTGTCCGAAAATGTAAAGTCTCACATAGACATCCATTTGTCCGGCGCCCCGCATGAAACACATTGAAAAACATAGAAAATAGTTGACCGATTAAAGCCAGTTTTTATAAAATGCTGATGCTTTTCTTACTACCAGCCGGCACATCGTATGAAAAAAATATTTTATTTATGTATTTTTATATAAATTTTGCATATGTATATTTCTTGAATATTGATGGGGGCGGCGCCCCTGCGCCCTCTATTGACGAGCCGCCACTGGTTGAAAGGTTACGGAGTAAAGTAGGGGCAGTATCACACCTAACAAAAATTGCTGAGTGTTTTACTCAGAAAAACCAAATGTATGTATTTATTAGCTTAATAAAAATGCAGGTCAAATAACTGTTTAAATGCAGTTGACAAAGACACGTAAAACAAATAGCCAATTGAAATCGTTTATTCATACTCATATATTCACGTGTTCTTTGGAGCATGTTGAATTGATAGCGGATTATAATTGAATCAGAGATTTGAAATGCTAAATACACCTGGTATAACATCTGAACTTTAGATTATTCTTAGTTTCGTTGAGAAATAATTTTAAAATGAAATTAAGTAGGCACTAAATCCAGTCTCCAGCCACCTTGCCAATATCCCAGGGTGGCTACAAAATCGTCGGGCTAATACGGTGTGTTTTAAGAACTTCCGTTGTGTTTGACTGATGAAGACCGGTGACCCTTGGCCCGTGGTGGGGGGGGGGGGTCACGACCACTGGAGTTTGAGGGGGAGGTAACGAGACCCCTGCGTCCTCCCCCCGTGCCCCCCCTCCACCACCCCCGTGCCCCACCCTTAATCTTCCCCACTGCCGTTGTTCCATGTCAGACGCTTACTCTCTCAATCAGGGCTTCCATTCGTCACGGTATACTTTCCAGTTTCGCTGGTTGTTAGGCTGCAGTGGGTTACTCGTAGCCACAGCCACGGCGAGAGCAACACGAGATGTGGTGGTGCTGAAGAATAGGGAGGCGCCACGGTGGCTGGGAGATGTTATCTCCCTCACCTGGTATACAGGAGGTCGTGGGTTCGATCCCAACCTTGACGCTTGCTGAATATTTGAAGTTTGCGTGTGGTCGTGTGGATTTTTTCTCCGGGTCCTCCCGGTTTCCCCTTCACATTTGAAGTCAACGTCACGCTTTCAGAGTATCACACTGATGACATGAATTTCCTCATGATGATGATAAGCCACTTCGTTGAGCTATCGTTTGCGATTGGCCAGGTCGCTTCTGACAAAAGAGCTGCATAGCTCAGTGGGCCTTTCCTGAATCAAATTGGCCCTGCTCCGTAACAATCGCAAGCCGAGGGGTGGAGGGGGGTACCTCCACGGCGACCACGAGGGCAGCCCCCCCGGTGTGGCGGCGGCCGCTTGGGCGCGGGCCGTCGTGCCGCACCCGGCGGCCACTCTGCCTCGCCAGCGCCGCTCCGTGCCGATCGCGCCGATCGGTGTGCAACGGCCCAACCCCCCCGCCTCATTACCACCCTAAACGCAGCATCTGTCCCCCCGGGGGCACCACCAGACGAATTCCACCGGCTCGCGGTGACGTCGCGTGTGGCGGTGAGAGCAAAGTGGAGACCTGGGTGACGTCAGTAAAACTCATCCACCCACCCGTCCACCCACTTCGCCCCCTTCCACCACAATGCCGAGCATGAAAATCCCCCTTCCACTGCCAAAGCCAGCGCGTCACCTCGAGGTGGCACACCGACAGAACGCTGTGCGTGCCCACTCAGAGATGCCACCTCTAGCAGTCCCTCGGGGCAAGAGCTCTTCGCGAGTAGAACCCATGAAGGCCAGGGAATGCATACGAGAGGGCGTGGTAATGACTAGCACCACGCCCCGGCCACCTTTATCTCCCCACTGCTAATGTTTATGAAAAATCACGCTAGACATTTTTAAATCTACCTAAGGGGATGCCCAGGACCGGTTCAGATATTTGTCACTGATGTCCGGCTGTGAGTGGGATCGAACTCAGGCTGTTTGCGTTTGTAGCGCGGTGCGCTAACCACTCCACTACCCAAGCACATAATATCGTATGCACACACACATTTATACGTGTGTGTGTGTGTGCATCGATACCCATAGACAGACACACGTGTGTGTATACACAGGAGGAGTGAAGCTATGAACTCTTGAGGTGTTAAAAGTTTTAATTCCTGGCCACGGCTAGGATCGGTGGCAAGCGATGTCTGCACTGGTCCAGGGTGGACCTGGCTTGGTGGGAGGGAGGCCACTGTCCACTATTCAACCCTGCATTAGCTTCACGAGTCAACTCTGCATTGGTGGCCCCAGTGGCGAGATGTTATCTGCCTCGCCTGGCATACAGGAGGTCGACCCTGATGCCTGCTCTATATTTGGAGTTTGCATGTCTCTCTCCCCGTGGTGGCGTTGATTTTTATCCGGGTCCTCCGGTTTTTCCCTTCACATTTAGAATCAACATCCGTTCACAGTTATTTGGCTGCTATAAATTTCCACATGATAAGCCACTTTGTTGAGCTATCATTTGTGATAACCAGGTTGCTTCTGAAAAAGAGCAAATAGCTCAATGGGCCTTACCTGGTAAAATAAAAAATAGTTTATATTTTTTTAGCACTAAAAATGTGTCTGTCATCTCTTGACATTGACCGATCATGCCCTACTCGGTGTACCATGCTCCCAATGTGCGAACCTGGAGTAATGGGGCTTTCATTTGTACAGCACCCAGGCTCTGGCATTCCCTGTCCTTGGAAGTTAGGAACCCGTAGTCGATGGAGATGTTTTAAGTCCCGGCTGAACAACTACCTCATGTAATTGAAAAGTTATTCTCTCTGTACTTCTCGATCTTGTCTCTTTAGTCGTTCCTTCCCCGGTTAATTCTCACTTGTTTTTATTGTTATTAACTCGTCCCAAACAACTGGATTTTTTCTTTAAATACTGCAATCAAATTGTTTAATTCGTGCATACACCCGCTATTCGTACGGCATTTGACATGCGGCAATGTCGTGTGGCGGTGGTGTTGTTGTTATCGTGTTGTTGTTACAGGTCGTGTGACGGTGGTGTTGTTATTGTGTTGTTGTTTCGATTTAAAGCTTTCGTGACTGCAGGGATTCATCTTCTTGGTTCTTTCGGTAAAGTCACGTAGAAGGGAAGTAATAAAATAATAAAAATAAAACATAATAAAATAATTCTCACGACGTTTCGGCCACAACGCAAGCAGCCGTCCTCAGGTGAAGAATGAGGATGGCTGCTTGCGTTGTGGCCGAAACGTCGTGAGAATTATTTTATTATGTTTTATTTTTATTATTTTATTACTTCCCTTCTACGTGACTTTACCGAAAGAACCAAGAAGACGTGTTGTTGTTGTTACAGGTCGTGTGGCGGTGGTGTTGTTGTTGTTATCGTGTGTATGCGCCGCTGCTGGTGGAGATGTCTGTCCATGTGAAGAGCATTACAACCCCGATGGTTACTATCATTTTGTAACGCATTGAGGGAATCAATTATATTTATCGCACGGCAGTTGCCATCTTTTGAAGCTAAAATAGATGTTTTATTATATATATGTGTAAAACGTCCAGCGTAACCGGTATTAGCCAAAACATCCCAAAATGAAAAAAACCTTTAAAATTCTGAATTGGGATCACACGCAGCGACAGCAGAACATCGCTCCCTCTACTACAACAACCTGACAGGACCCTCCTGAAAAAGCATCGAGTCTCGGTGTGAGGGCTTTCCCGGGTGAACGAGCATAATGACCATCTATGCAGAAAAAAGCCGATGGAAGCGGATATCACAGAGCTACCTCTGAGATCCCTTCTTGTTCTACAAGGTTTATCGCATGATGGTCACAGTGTGAGTAGAAGTTAGCTAAGTGCGACCTCTGAGATCCCTTCTTGTTCTACAAGGTTTGTCGCATGATGGTCACAGCGTGAGTAGAAGTTAGCTAATTGCGACCCAAATTTAGCATGAACATTTTTTTGTGCAGTCATAAGTGACCTGGGTGGATACCATCAGCTTGCTGGACTTGAGAACCCAGTTTAATAACAGAGGGTCGGCAGCTCAGAGGTCAGTGCTGGTGAGATGTGAGTAGCGAGGAGTGTTAGTGCTGGTTATAGTTGATGAGCGGTGTGTGAGCGGTGAGCGGTAACGGATGTTAGTGCTGGTGAGCAGTGTGCGATGGTGAAGGGTATAAGTGCTGGTGAGAGGTGGTGAGCGGTGTGTGAGTGGTGAAAGATGTTATCGCTGATGAGTGGTGTGTGTCGTGAAGAATGTTAGGGCTGGTGAGCGTTGTGCATGGTGAGGAGCGTGCGTGGTGAGGAGCGTGGTGTGTGCGGAGAGGAGATTGGCGTGCGGCCTTCGCCGAGGTTTCACACATGCCTGCATGCCCCCTCTCTCCGCCCCGTCCGCTCCATGCCGCAGACGACTCGAGGCTCGGCTGGGCACCCGGCGTCCCCGGGCCCCTTCGGCGAGTCCTGCTCCGCACGGAGCGCTCGCTACACGGGGAGAAGCGGAGCCGCCTGGGCAAGAAGGGCGGTCGTGGCCGCGGCGGCGGCGGCGGTGGTCGCGGCCGCAAGGCCGAGCAGTCGTGCCGGTTGCGTGTCGTGCAGGTCACCGTGAGGGAGCTGGGACTGGGCTATGACTCGGACGAGACGCTGCGCTTCAAGTACTGTGGCGGCAGCTGCCGCCAGGACCGCAACATGTACCAGATGGTGCTGGAGCACTTGCTCGACCTGAAGGGTGACCTGGTGGCATCGCGGAGTAGCGCGCAGCCCTGCTGCCGGCCCGTGGGCTTCGAAGACGTGTCCTTCATGGACTCGTCGCTGGAGTGGAAGACGCTGGAGAACGTCTCCGCCAATGGCTGCAGGTGCCTGCGCTGACGAAGCCCCGCGCGGCGAACCGACGAACCGTGTTCGGGCGGACGAGCAAACGAGGGAGCTCCCCCTCCACCCCCCGCTCCCCCCCCCCCCGCCGTGGAGACGGAGCGAGGAGGACCGGCCTGACGGAAGGGGGACTCGTGCTGAGGCTCGCACACGCTGTACATTTTGTGAAGACTCTTCCCTTATTCGGTGTCGTCGTCGTCGTCATTGTGGTCTCATGTGACGCGCCAGCGTACATTTAGTTCGGTGTATAGTATTAGCAGCGCTGTGTCCTCCACCTTCATCTTCGACGCAGACCCCCACCGGGGGAGCGAGAGTTAAGTGTTCCATTACACAGCTGTAGGGGTTCAACCTGTGGGATGTTCTATTCGTACCCTGGTTGTAGAGGGCGGGGGGGGGGTGGTTATGTGCAGTCCAGGTGTATCTCAGTGACAATGTGCAGGTGAAGAAAGTGGGGGAGGGGTGCTGTATGTGTGGGATGCTGGGAGGAGGGTCGCGTGCCCCGATTGGACGACAGAAGAGGCTCCCTTCATTAGCAATTGACAGGTTCATTTTGAACTGTAACAATGGTTGATGCAATGCATTTTTAAATATAATTTTGTAACTGCAAAAAAATCTATTTAATACGTATTTATTTTATTTATGCAGGTAACTTATATGTTGACTGACGCTGTGTATTTTATTTGTACCTGTAAACGGTTCTCATTAAACCTCACGTGTTAAGAGTCTGGAGTGCACCCGGGTTGCTGTGTTCCTGGTTTCAGTCTCCGGCTCCGCGCGGCTCTCGGGTGTGGGAGCGCTGCCTCGGAGGGGTCAAGGTCACGGTTAGAGTCCCGTGGCAGTAACGGATGCAATCACGGGACGCTGAACCCCGTCCCGATGCTGACCTTGATAGACGCGATACGAGTCTGCAGCCGCCCTGGGCTGCGTGCCTTGTGACGATGGTGATGATGGTTGGTGAGATGATGACGACGGTGACAGTGATGATGGTGGTGACGATGATGGTGGTGGTGGTGATGATGATGATGGTGACGATGATGGTGATGATGGTGATGATGTTGTTTAGAGTTTACAGTGGAACGCCTCTCAACCGCAACCCTGTTATCGATCTGCAAAAGATGTTATTATCCTGAGTTTGGTGGGTTAGATAATGTAGGTGTAGTGTACATTTTTTAATATGACAATCCACCACCTAATAGTATGTATATGTACGTTTAACTTATTTTGCACCATTTAGCTAACCATGCTAATCGGATGCACGGGGTAAGGAAAACAATAAACTTGTCGCATAAGCAAATATATGAAAGCCTATTTATGAAAAGTATCCTATTTTCCAAAACATTATGAGATAAAGAGGAGTAATGTGGAACATTCATCCGTGTTTAGCCGCAGGTAATCTCCTGGGAAGAGCTTAATTCACTCGATGACATGCACATTGTCACGGATAATCATACTCAGAATGTTTATTTATACTATAGGAATCCAATGAGCTATACAGCTTTTTTCACACGTGTCAAGTCGAGGTATCAGGTGGGGTGACTTGACCCTCTTATTCATATTTTATACATTAATGATTCTATAGGAAGCAAGCTTCCAGAAGAGCTAAGAGAATATTATTTTCAGCAACATGTTCACGGATAAGAGGAGCACATAACGATAGGTTGCGGATAACAGGACCCACGAACAGTGCAACTTCCCAGAGCAGCGTGCGCATCATAGCGTACGGCAGCCAAGAGCGGCCTCCAGGACCCCGCATCCTAGAGGCAGGCAATCCATGCAATAGACGCACTTAAAAATCGTGCACGCATAAGGAAAAAATAACACGCTACCCACGATGTTGGGCTGAGTGGACAGGGGGCGTGCCAACGCATCTTGCGCAGTGAGCCATCTCGGTTCACGCGCGGGCAGGCACCGCCCCGCCACCCCCCGTGCCGCCAGCGAGAGCAGATTCGTGGAACAACCGTGTTTGGCCAAGTGGAGTGGACTTAGGTTAGAGGATAAGGGGGGAATAAGACAACAATAATGGGCGACGATTTTGTATCGAAGTTGGAAAGGGCAGGTAGGTGGGGGGAAATGTAGCGAGCGTTTAATGGGACGTTAATGTGCAGTTGGCAGAGGTGGAAGAATGAGTTAAGGGGGAAGGAGTTCATCAGATGTGCGGACAACCGAGGGGAAAGAATTCCAGACACGGCGGGTGGGTGGGTGGATGGGGGGTGGCGGTGAGAATCAGGGGAGGAGTGACCTCCCCACAGTCTGAAGGATGACTTTGGGTTTCACCAAGAGCGCGGGGACTGTCCGAGCGAAGTGTGCCAGCAGGGGAGTGGAGTTGAGAGCAAGATCATTTCAGGTCTTGAAAACAGAGGGCGGTCTTGGAACGAATCGCTCAAGTTGGGAGCGAGTGGGGAAGCGGTTTCAGAAGCGACCTCGCAGGCGAGGTGGGGAGGGAGGGAGGTGGGAGGTGCGTCAGAGTCTGAGGAGGGATCTGAGGTGGAGAGAGAGGTCATAGAGAGGAGAGCCACAGAGCCTTGCGTAGCCAGCACGATGGGGCAGTCGGTGACGCAGGCGTGGACGCAGTATCTCGGTCGCAGCAGATGGGGGTGGGGAGGGGGGAGAGAAAGGGAAACCTGGAATAGGAAGAGAGATACTGTGCAGATGGAGGAGGTAAGAGATCCTGCCGAAGTTGACAGATGTGAGGACAAGAGGCGAGCTCTGCACGGACTATGGCAGTAGTTCGAGAAGTTCCCGGGGGCAGCCTTGTGGTGTGGCTTCACGTTAAGCATTCTTGTAATGTTGCACGCAGCATTCTTGTTAAGCACTGCAACGAAAACATATTTTGCAACAGTTGCACATTTACGCGGCCTTTAAACGTACAGCCGCGCACGGCTTGTGTTCACGCATCAAGGATAGCAGGGCTGGGTAGGCCCGAAGGCCGGCCTGGGCCCGTCTGGCCTCATCGGAGCCCTGGCAGGAAAATAGAAAAAAAAAGCTTTAGAGAATAGTTCTAAGGTCTTATTTGCCTTTCTAAAAAAACACAAACTAAACGAATCTTGAGTTCACATTTTCGTAATGTGCATAGAAAGCAATCTGCCATGCTGGATTTGGTTACCGTGATGACCAGGTGAGCCCTTCCAGCCCCATGACGACCACCAGGTGACCCCTTCCACAACATTTACAATTCGAGTACCGTGACGTTTCGCCCGGTAATTACAGCCAGCCTCGTCAGGCAACAGCCACGGAGTTGTGGATAAATCATCCTCCTGTTTGGGTCTTAAACAGAGGGATTAAATGTGATGTCGTCACTTGTGAGCCAATCAGGCGCTTATTGGCATGTTTTACGAAATCTAACCTTCCCCCCACCCTCTTATTATATTGGTCGCGAAAGCCTACGTTTTAAACTGAACAACTGTGTTACAAGCAACATTGTTGCAGAGGGCATTTCAATGTTTGACTTCCGACTTGATGTCAGAATTAAGTCAGAAAATCCTGCGAGGTGGTTCAATGCTGAGGGCATGAGGAGGCTGCTTGCCATTAGAAGGGCCACTGCCTGACATGTTGCCAATTCTATAGATTTGTATTCTCGTAAGGCCACAGTGTTGGTTGGCGAGTGTGTTGAGACGTTTTGTTAATTGCGCTTTTGCACCAATGCCAACGCAGCAACAGCAGCAGCACCAAATCCTGTTCTCGTGAAGCAGGATCAGGCAAATGAACGGTACCTTGAGTATGGGTGTCATCGGCTGGACATATTTTTGCCAAGTGGGAAGACATACAGTGGATTGAGGAACACCATTACGTAAGCATTTCTGAGAGGAGGGAAGCCTTTGTAAGGACTGGGATTAACGCGTAAGAGGTAGGAGCCGGATTCAACGGAGGCTGGGATAATCAAAGGTATCCATGGCAGCAGTGAATTCCAATAAGCAGGGAGTGGTAACTATTGTCCGGTGTAAAGTAGGTCGTTGCCTACACTCCAGAGGGTTGTTTCCATTGAGTGGCCTTGACGGAAACCAGATGTGACTGGGTCATGAAGATCACAAGCAGGAGGAGTGATTGACGGAGGGGGTAGAGGATGACCCTTCCATGGACTTCTGCCCAGGAGAGGGAGGCTGGGGATGGGGTGGTATCTTTCATGGGTGTCAGGATCCAGAGATGGAGTTTTTTTTTTAAATGATGATCGTAGTGGAGCCAAAGGAGAAGATGGAAAACAAATCCACCTGTTCGTGGCTCCACCTGCCAGTGAGTCCACTTGGCTTAGCCTCCAACTGCCAGTGAGGTGATATGAACAGATATTGCCACGGCGAAGTGACAGTTGAGGGATGTGTGTGCGAGGGGTTATGAAGCGAGCATCCGCTTGCCTGTCACTCACCCGGGTATGGAAAGTATTTAATGTTCTTTCTGAGCACACATGTACACACATACCAGGTACACACACACCCCTTCCTACCAATTACACACAACAGTACACACCCCCGAGTTATACCAGGGGCGCACACACACGCACGAATACACTCGCACACCTGCGTATATATATGCACATACAACGACAAAGATCCCCCGTGTACTCTACATATGCTGTTGGTACAACCGTACAAGTGCTGTTCGCGAGCAATACACACAGACAAAGACACCAGGCAAACATCACATACCACTTACATACACACACACTCTTTCCCTCCGGTCCCCGCCACACTACACACACACACCAAAAGACAAAGATCCCCCTGCATTACCTCAACCTACTTTTTGGGACAAGTGCTGTTTGCGAGCATATATGAAAGCTTACACGGCACACGCGGGGGTGGGTGGCCACCACCACGCCTAGCCGCCTTTGTCTCCCTAGTGGCGATGTTTACACACTAGGTAGTTCGTTTTGAGGCTGAGTCGACCTAGGGGAGGCCCAGGACCGTTTCAGATCATTTAATTCGCAGCATACTACTTGCTACACTATCGCCCCCACATTACACTCACACAACCTCAATATACACTCACACTACAACAACAACAATAACCGCCATTCGCCACTAAGTGGCGGTGACGTCACCACGACGCTTGTGTCAGGCCATGTGCACCTTGAGGCCACGTGAAGTGTCGAACGCACGCTGGCAGGAGGTCACGGGGCAGACCCAGGTGCCACGGGTCGACTGACCGAAATGACCGAGATGACTGGCTGATGCGCCACCTGTGCCCCTACTGTACCAACTTGCTGTGCTTTAGCCACCCCGCGCTCCGCTTGTTGTTGTGAGCGTCGCTCCTCCGCCCTCCGTTGTTGTTGGAGGGCGACTGCCTCCAAATGCCCAGTAGCGTCCTTCACGAGCCTCCTCCACAGAGGCCGATCTTGACACCGCTGGTACCAGTCATCGGCAAATCCACTCAGCTCCACGTCCTCCCGTACCACATCACTCCATCTCTTCTCTAGCCCGTGCTGCGCCCGTTTAGCCCCCTCGATCCGGCCGAACAAAAGCTGTTTAGGCATGCGGTGGCTGGGTATGCGGGCTACATGATCCAGTCAACGCAGCCTTGCCTACCGAAGGAGCTCACCGATGGGACTTTGCCCAGATCTTTCAAGGATTTGTGAGCTCCTCACACAATCCAGCCTGGTTAAACCCAGGATGGATCGTAGGCAGGCCAGCCTAAATGTTTCCAACCGGCGAAGATGCTCCATTCGAGGGGTCCACGTTTCACAAGCATAGAGAAGGGAGGGAATGACCGTGGCCGAGAAGACCTTGAAGCT